GAACTTTGCTTCAGGATAAGAACAGAAATTGGGCTCCGGCGGCACAGAAGCAGCAGCAGGAGGCCCATTAGCTAAAAGTGGTGCTTCAGGTTAAGAACAGTTTCAGGTTAAGAACGGACCTCCGGAACAAATTAAGTACTTAACTCGAGGTACCACTGTATAGTGTGTTCAGCTCAAAGGACTCAGTTGCTTAGAGCAGGGGTAGGCAACCTAAGGCCTGGGGGCTGGATCCGGCCCAGTCGCCTTCTAAATCCAGCCTACGGACTGTCTGGGAATCAGCTTGTTTTTACATGAAAAGAATGTGTGCTTTTATTTAAAATGCATCTCTGGGTTATTTGTGGGGCATAGGAATTGGTTCATATTTTTTTAAAAAATATAGTCCGGCCCACCACATGGTCTGAGGGACGGTGGACTGGCCCGCAGCTGAAAAAGGTTGCTGACCCCTGGCTTAGAGCGTGGTACTGATAACACTGAGGCTGCAAGTTCGATCCCTGTATGGGACAGCTGCATATTCCTGCATTACTTAGATGATCCTTCCAGCTCTACAATTCTATGGTTCTATGATTCAGTGAATTGGTCAAGGTAGGAAAGCAAGGTGCCCATTAGACACTGAGGTAGATTGATGGAAATCATGGACATTGGACCAGAAGAATGGGAGTTTCTTATCAGAAGGCAGTAAAGTGTATTAGATACAGAGCGCCAGAGTGCTGTTTGCATGGGTAAGGCAAGCAGGCGGCATCAGCGTGGCATTGGCGGCAGAAACCAGGTTTTCAGGATGTGATGTGTTGTTTGAAAAGTACCAGTAAGGTAAGGAGGTGTAGCAGTTGCACGAGAGAGCTATACTCCAGGCAACAGGCTGCCCAGTAGCGGGCCAATGCCACATTGAAGAGAAGACACTACAGGGTACAGTCAAACCTCAGTTGTCGAACATAATCCTGTTCGGCTTCCGAAATTTTCGACAACCAAGGTGCAGCTTCCGATTGGTTGCAAGAACTTCCTGCACACAAGCCAGACGTTCAGCTTCCAAAAAACGTTTGAAAACCAGAGCATTTACTTCCGGGTTTTCGGCATTCAGAAGCCAAAATGTTCCAAAACGGAGGCGTTTGGTAGTCGAGGTTTGAATGTATGAGGTAAAAGACCCCTGGATGGTTAAGTCCAGTCAAAGGCGACTATGGGGTTGCAGCACTCATCTCACTTTCAGGCCGAGGGAGCTGGCGTTTGTCAGCAGACAGCTTTGCGGGTAATGTGGCCAGTAGGACTAAACTGCTTTTGGTGCAATGGAACGCTGTGACGGAAACCAGAGCGCACGGAAACGCCATTTACCTTCCCGCTGCAGCGGTACCTATTTATCTACTTGCACTGGTGTGCTTTCAAACTGCTAGGTTGGCAGGAGCTGGGACCGAGCAACAGGAGCTCACCCTGTCGCAGGGATTCGAACTGCTGACCTTATGATCGGCAAGGCCAAGAGGTTCTGTGGTTTAGACCACAGCGCCACCCAGTCCCCTATATAATACCAAAGGGTATTAGCCCTTTGGAGTCTCCCCTTCTGGGATGCCCCTGGGGAACAAGGACCACTTGCACATGAGAGAGGCAGAGGGATGGCAGAAGTATCTTGACTGAGAGACAGGAAAGTGAAATTCTCCCAGAGTTCTCCAAACTGGAAGAGCAAAGGAAAACTCCCAGTGAGAGCTGGGAGAGTCTGTAATTCTCTGTGGAGGCGGGGATTAAGAAGATTGTACTTGGGCACTGTTTTTGTACTTTAGATAGGGGCTGGCGTGGGAGTTGGTAGGCTTTGAAAGAACTACAGTGGTACCTCAGGTTAAGAACTTAATTCATTCCGGAGGTCCGTTCTTAACCTGAAACTGTTCTTAGCCTGAGGTACCACTTTAGCTAATGGGGCCTCCCACTGCCGCTGTGCTGCCGCCGCACGATTTCTGTTCTCATCCTGAGGTAAAGTTCTTAACCCGAGGTACTATTTCTGGGTTAGCGGAGTCTGTAACCTGAAGTGTATGTAACCTGAAGCGTCTGTAACCTGAGGTACCACTGTATTTGGATTTCATCCAGAATGTTTAGGATATATATCTATATATCTATATATATATCTGTAGATATAGATATATATACACACACACAAGATTACAAAGCTGAAAGCTCCAGCTAAAATCAGGCTCATGTCACAGCACCACAGGAAAAAAAAAGTTGCTGTGTGCCAGCCTGTCAAAAGGTGCAGACATCGGGCGTCATCCTGGCTTCCTGGTATCTTTACTTGGTTGCAAGTGGCGGATTGCCAGGTGCCAACCTGGCGAATTTCAAATGCTGGTTTCATCACCCTTGCGCTGTCCCTGTGAGAACCGGCAGCAAACGAATCTCTTTACCTTTCTCCCTCCAGAGCCCTCGGTTTTCCTCAGCACCTCTGCTGATTGGCAGCGGCAATGGGGATGAAGGAAGAAGAACCCGATTACCAGAAGCAGTTTGACGCTGCTGTCCGTGTCATTCAAGGCTTGCCCAAAAATGGTGAGAGCCCATTTGGGGATGCTCTATGGTTACTTGCTGTACCTACTCCACAGACCTCTGACATCAAATTCTCCAAGTTTGTCTGTACAGCCATAAGGAGACAACAGCAACAGCAACAACTTTTGAAAACCCCAAAAAGAATCTGGGATTCTCAAGAGCTGGAACTTAGATTCTTAGTTTGAAGCTTGCATAGTTCCCTTACTGTTGTGTTATACAGTGGTGCCTCGCAAGACGAAAATAATCCGTTCCGCGAGTCTCTTCGTCTAGCGGTTTTTTCGTCTTGCGAAGCAACCCTATTAGTGGCTTAGCGGATTAGCGCTATTAGCGGTTTAGCGGCTATTAAAGGCTTAGCGGCTTAGCGGCTAAAAGGCTATTAGCGGCTTAGCGGCTTAGAAAAAGGGGGGAAGCGAAAAAAATCGCAAGACTCACAAGACGTTTTCGTCTTGCGAAGCAAGCCCATAGGGAAAATCGTCTTGCAAAGCAACTCAAAAACGGAAAACCCTTTCGTCTAGCAGGTTTTTCGTCTTGCGAGGCATTCGTCTTGCGGGGCACCACTGTACTCCCTGATTCCCTATCCTCACCAAGATGGGTTATATTCCAATTTACTGTGTATGAAATGTTAATGTTCTGGAAGCTGCCCAAAGAGTGGCTGGGGGAACCCAGTTATATGAGTGGCATATAAATTGTTGTTGTTAGGTAGCATATAAATTGTTGTTGTTTGGCAGCATATAAATTGTTATTATTATTATTATTATTATTATTTGGCATATAAATAAATTACTACTACTTACTACCACTGCTGCATGCTGCTTACATGCCAGAACAGCTTCTAAGCAATTTACAAGTATAAAATCAATTATAGAATCCATACACACAAACTATAACCATTCCGTCAAAATGTTTTTGAAAGCCGTATTTAAAATGCACACTACTACCAAGCCCATTAAAAACATAATTAATTGAGCAATTAAAACAGATCAGGAAGTTCAAGCTCAGTCTTTTAATTAATAAATAATAAATAATAATACAGCCCGCTCTGCCCCGACTCCATCCCTTTTCATGACATTTTGGGGCTACTATCGGGTTTGGCGCCGTGCACAATCATGCGTCTGTTTTAATTTAATTTAATTGTTTTGACTGCTTTGGTTTTTAACGGGCATGATTGATTGTGTGTTTTAAATGTGGGGTTTTAAATGTTTTGATGGAACTGTTTTAGTGAGCAGGGGTTTTATAATTATAAAATTATAGTTGTAAGTGTAGGCCACCTAGAAGCTATTCTGGCATGTAAGTGGCTTATAAAGAATAATGTTGTGAGTTTTATTTTAGGGGGAGGGGGTTAGGTTCATCTTCTAATTCCTGGATCCAGCACAAATTCAGTTACTGGAATTAATAGGTGAGCCTGGGCAATGGGTCATTAAGAGAAACAAAGGGAGTGGCTCTGTGCTAGATGACAAATGGGTGGGCCTCCCACTCCCCCAACCCCCCCTGTCAGTTAGAAAGACAAAAGCCAGAGTTTAGGTCTGTCTGGGTAGAAGCAGGCTGCAGGCAGAAGTCATAGAGCAGTAATGTCCAAACTTGGCCCTCCAGCTGTTTTTGGACTACAACTCTCATCATCCCTAGCTAACAGGACCAGTGGTCAGGGATGATGGGAAATGTAGTCCCAAAACAGCTGGAGGGCCAAGTTTGGCCATCACTGCCATAGAGGGAGAGACATCATCATCAATCATCATCATCATTATTATTATTGAATTTATATACTGCCCTATACCCAGCGGTCTCAGGGCAGTTCACAGACTAAAATCAAGATATAAAACCACAAAATACATAATAAAAATACAAACAACAACCCAATAGCTCCCCCCCAAAAAAACACATTTTAAAAGGGCATAGGATGTAAATCGGATCAGCCAAAGGCCTGGTTAAAAAGCAATGTTTTTGCCTGGTGCCTAAAGGTGTATAATGAAGGCGCCAGGCAAACTTCCCTGGGGAGAGCATTGCACAGATGGGGAGCCACTGCAGAGAAGGCCCCGTTCTCGTGTTGCCACCTTCCGGATGATTCTGACCTTCCCCACTTTTCTCAGGTTCCTACAGACCATCCTACGAAGAAATGCTGCGCTTCTACAGCTACTACAAGCAAGCCACGGTGGGTCGGTGCCAGATCCCCAGGCCGGGGTTTTGGGACCCTATTGGCAGATATAAATGGTAAGAAAGGCAAGGACCAGCATCTCCTTTCAGAACTAGTGAAGGCACTGGCTTTGTTTGAACTTAGCCCCTGATCCTGTTCTGAACAAATGGACCCAGCCTTGCAATGCTGGTACAAAGTACTGCTGCTTATCTGATGGGCATGGGGATAAGCTAGCATTGCTCCAATTGCGCGGGCAACTGTTGCAATTATGGGCTTAATTTTAGACGCTGGCTTTGATCCATAAAGGCTTACGTCTCCCTGTATTTGGCCTGTGTCAAGTTGCAGTCCGGTGATCAAGCACTGCCTTTAAAAGAAAAACAAAAGAAAAACGCCCTTATTGCAAGAGATTAAAACTGTAAGAATGAGAAGCAGGGCTTTCATTGCAGTGGCCCCCTACTTTTGGAATGCCCTGCCTTTTGTTCTGAGCAGGAGCTAATAGTGAGCCGTTTCCCTTAAGAACTGCAAGCAAACATTTGATTTGGTGGCCTCTCTTCTTACAATGGTCATCTGCCATCTGCTATTTATTAATAAAATAACCATGCCGTTTTTAAATCGTGCAAATCATAGAATGGCATTGAATTCTGCACAGTATTGATCCAGAGTAGATTCCAGTGTTTAGTTAGCAGAGTCAAAACACGTTGCAGGATTCCAAAAAAATAGACCAAAGGCAATTGTATTTCATCCAGCAGAGCTTTACTGCAACTGAAGGCAAATGAGCAGAATGTTCACAAATCCAATACGTTCAGGATTGGCACTGTCCATAGGAAATCCAGTTGCAGCAGATTTAACTTAAAATAACTTATAATAAGTCTAAACTTTAACACTAAGCATACAGTCATACCTCGGGTTGCGAACGCTGTGGGTTGCGCGTTTTTGGGTTACGGACGCGCCGAACCTGGAAGTACCGGAACGGGTTACTTCCGGGTTTCGGCGCATGCGCAGAAGCACTAAATCACGCTTTGCGCATGTGCAGAAGCACCGAATCGCATCCTACGCGTGCACAGGCGCGGCACTGTGGGTTGCGAACGTGCCTCTTGCACGGATCACGTTCGCAACCCGAGGTTCCACTGTACTATGTACAGAACACCACACCAGAAGGAAAAAACATAGAAAGAGATAGTGAAACTCAGTCTCCTTCTGGCCTTACTTTTATAGTCAGCATGACCTTCACAGAAAGAGATAAGAGAACCAGTTTAAACCAGCCGTACTCAGCTTCTCTGAAGGGATAACCCAAACATCATGAACCTTCTGCTTGCTTCTTTCACACAGAGAAACTTCCAGAACCCTCTTGAATTAATTAGAATAGGGAAGATTTCTACACATCAGATCAATACTTTCGGCACTAAGAAATGCAAACTGACATAGAATTCATAGAATCATAGAGGTAGAAGGTACCCTGGGCATCTAGTCCAACCCCCTCCAACGCAGGAATCTTTCACCCAACATGGGGCTTTGAACCCACAACCCTGCGATGAAGAGCCTACCAACTGAGCTGTCATGCCGTGTGTGTGTGTGTGTGCGCGCGCGCTGCTTGGGACATACAGTGGTACTTCGGGTTACATACGCTTCAGGTTACAGACGCTTCAGGTTACAGACTCCGCTAACCCAGAAATAGTACCTTGGGTTAAGAACTTTGCCTCAGGATGAGAACAGAAATCGTGCTCCGGCGGTGTGGCGGCAGCAGGAGGCCCCATTAGCTAAAGTGGTACCTCAGGTTAAGAACAGTTTCAGGTTAAGAACGGACTTCCGGAACGAATTAACCCGAGGTACCACTGTATGGGAAAGTGAATGTTTAAAATTAATCAAAACGAGAAGTAAAAATACTCGTGAGTTATGCATAGACTTTCTGAATAATCGCAAAAATAATAGAGGGCTGCTAATTCAGAGGACCTGACTTTCAGGCCGGTGTGAACTCTTGGCATCTTTCTCTCCCAAAATTAAGCACCTGTCCCCCAGGTACGGGGACGCGGGTGGCGCTGTGGGTAAAAGCCTCAGCGCCTAGGGCTTGCCGATCGAAAGGTCGGCGGTTCGAATCCCCGCGGCGGGGTGCGCTCCCGTTGCTCGGTCCCAGCGCCTGCCAACCTAGCAGTTCGAAAGCACCCCTGGGTGCAAGTAGATAAATAGGGACCGCTTACTGGCGGGAAGGTAAACGGCGTTTCCGTGTGCTGCGCTGGCTCGCCAGATGCAGCTTTGTCATGCTGGCCACGTGACCTGGAAGTGTCTCCGGACAGCGCAGGCCCCCGGCCTATAGAGTGAGATGGGCGCACAACCCTAGAGTCTGTCAAGACTGGCCCGTACGGGCAGGGGTACCTTTACCTTTACCTTAATTCAGAGGACCTGACTTTCAGGCCGGTGTGAACTCTTGGCATCTTTCTCTCCCAAAATTAAGCACCTGTCCCCCAGGTAAGAAGTTATGTTTGGCTTTTTGGCAGGGATGCATGGAACAGCTTGGGGAAGATGACCAAAATGGAAGCCATGGCAGCTTATATCGCCGAGATGAAGAAGGCTGCTCAGAAGGTAGGAAATGGGGAACACCCTCCTCATTCAGGCCTGGTCTGCCTGGTTGGGTCGCCATGGAAACTCCTTTACAATGAGATATGAGTAGGCTGCAGCTCAACCCTAACAGCGATTCAACGGCAGAAATGGCAAGGAAGGCACCTCAGGGTTTGGGCTTGAACAAATCTCTGTGGGTAGGGGATTTCGGAGAGCCTTTGGCTCTGAAATGAAGGAGTTCAGCGTGAAGGAACCCAGCGGGTTTTTGAACAGAACCGAAGTTTTGTGCCGTTTTAAAACGTGTCAAATGTTTGTGAGATTCAAAGTGAAAGTACAGCTGAGATCCCTGAGAGATGTTTTAAAATGCACAAACCACCAGGCCTGATGTTTAGACTTCCTGATAAGACATTGGCTGAGCTCTGCTTTGAATCCTCTAAATGCAGCAGCGTACTCCACTGGCAATGTTGTAAAATAAATCCAAGTGAGAAGGGGTCAAATTTACACTTCTGCAAGATAATTTGCTTGAGAGCCCTTGTGTGGGACTCTCGGTGGTCCACGATCCGGGGGGGGGGGGGAGTTAGGTCCAGACTTCAACATTGATGCAGAATCAGGTTCACCCAGACCGGTCGCCGGATCCCAGGGAATGTTATTGTACCACCCGGGATCCTCTCTAGGACTTTTTGGCAGGTCATCAACACCGTGCCGTTGGATGAGTCGTCGGAGGACATGTTTGTATACTTTGAACCCCTCTACGAAGTGATACACGATATGCCCAGGCCCCCTGACTCCTTCTTCAAGAAGAAAACAGGTATGTCTGTTAGCGGTGACGGAGGGGTGCGTGGGTTCTCCAGCTATTATGGTGTGTGCTTCCGGACCACAGGTTTTTTTTTAATAAGAATGTAGAAGTCACCTCCCCAGCTCCTCTTAGACACAGCCTCTGCGAGCTTTGCAGGTGCTTCCTTCTAATCTGGCCTCCGTAAAGTGTGTCTTTTCTGCAGAGAGCTTGTTCAGCGTGTTTGAGAGTGGAGCCTCGCAGCGAGGGAATGTTGGCTGGATGACCTGCTTTCAGGTCATTCCCCAGCCGTGCAACTGTAGGAAAAGGGATCCTTAATCTCACCTGATCCTTGTCCCTCCCTGAAATTTCTCAGGTGCCAATTTGCATTCATCAGCTGGGAGTGAAGCAGTCCAACCTGCTTGGACCTGCTTAGGGTTTGGGCAGTATAGACAACCCCCACCCCCAACTTTGCTGCAGGATTTTTGTCGGCAGGGAGAGGGAAAAAAGACAACTTGCGATTCAGCGCATGCTGGGTTTCCTTCTCTTAATAACTTCCCTCCGGGCCTTGTTTTTCCCTCCCAAGATCGTAGTGGTGAGGAGGAATGGATGTTCCCCCAAAATATCTGCTTTATATACATTATTTACACAAGGGGCTGCACGTGATTGGCTAATTCCGGGATTCTCCGGCCAATCAGGTTGTGGATTCACTTCCACTTGGAGCTGGATTGGGTGGCTCCTGTGGACCAATCAGACTGCTGCATTGTTCTGGGACCAATCAGACTGCTGCATTCTGAATCCTATTGTTCTAGGACCAATCAGACTGCTGCATTTTGGGTCCTATTCAACTCAGTACATAACAGATGGGAAGGGCAAAGCAGGGAAACTTGGGACAGTGGAAGGGGTTTGGATTTTAGTCTATATTGTGTGAGAATGATATCAGGAGCTTCCCCTCCCCTTGCCCGTTTCATTCTAAAATCTTGGCATGCGCAACTCTTCTGTAGAGCACTTTTGACTTCCCCACCCCCATCGAAAAGATCTGGCCCACCTCCCAGCTGTTATCACTCTTCTTACAGTGTAAACAGAAGCCCTGTTGCTGCCTGGGTCATCGGTGGAGATAACAGCGCTGCCAGCAGGGTTAGCTCCACGCTCAAAAAGTGCCCATCGGCGCTCCCTCTACTGTATTTGCAGACCCTTGGCTGTGGGCTTGCATGGAGCAGCAGACTGTTCAATGCCGCGGTTTAAAATTTCCCACAATGCCCCAGAGTGGCACTTTACAGCAGGAGCATTGTGGGAAATTTAAATGGTGGCTTACAAACCCACCGGGTACAGGGAGCTCGAGGAAGCCACCAGCGCCCTGGTCTCTGGGACCATGGCAGCTACCCAGGGATTCTGGTATCTGATGGTGGAACGGACACCCATTCGTTTCAGCAAAGCTTGTGCAAGAGAACTTCCTAATGGACTGTGCCGTAAACAACATCACCGTCTACCTGCTGTCATTCACGGCACCCCAGACAGGCCATCTGAGCTAACAGTTTCATTTAGCCCTAGGTTTCCCAAATTTGGGTCTCCAGCTGCTTTGGGACTACAACTCCCATCATCCCTAGCTATCAGGACCAGTGGTCTGGGATGATGGGAATTGTAGTCCAAAAGCAGTTGGAGTCCCAAGTTTGGGAAACCCTGATCTAGCTTCACAGAAAAACCAGTTTGCTCTTCCTGGGCCTTTTATATGGAGCCTGTCATTTGGTGGTAGATTAAATATTTTAGCTGGATTTGTAGCCAACACCCTCAAATCCGAGTTACGGTTTAGCTGAAAAGCCTCCCAAGAATGCTAATCCAGTTTTTATTGAACTTCAGCTCCTTTATCTTAGGGGAAGTTGATCATATTCATTGACTTCAAAGTCCATTGTAATCAAGATGGTGGGAGAAACAGGCAGATTCCTTTTTTTATTGCCCTCCTGTTCCACCCCCACACCGAAGGCACTGACAGCTCCTAGAGAAGGCCCTTGGAAACAACAAGTGTGCGTCCAGACCCACAGACTATGAAAGAGAAGTAGTTTTGTGGAATTATCCTGGTTCTCTTGTCAATGCTTATGGGGATATCCCTGGTGAGAGCTTACCCCTGTTTGTGCAAAAGGTACGCTAGCCTGACTTCAGCAGGGGCCGGGCAAGCTCAAACAATGGCTAAAAGAACAGGCAATATTTCCAAAACTGTATGGCGCTGTGGGTTAAACCATAGAGCCTAGGACTTGCCGATCAGAAGGTTGGCAGTTCGAATCCCCGCAATGGGGTGAGCTCCCGTTGCTCGGTCCCTGCTCCTGCCAACCTAGCAGTTCGAAAGCATGTCAAAGTTCAAGTAGATAAATAGGTACTGCTCTGGTGGGAAGGTAAACGGCGTTTCCGTGCGCTGCTCTGGTTCGCCAGAAGCGGCTTAGTCATGCTGGCCACATGACCTGGAAACTGTACACCGGCTCCCTCGGCCAATAAAGCAATATGAGCGCCACAACCCCAGAGTCGGTCACGACTGGACCTAATGGTCAGGGGTCCCTTTACCTTTTATGTGTGCTTGTCATTGCTGATTGTGCCATAGGAAATGAATGAATTTAAAGAATCAAAGGCTCCTATGATCTCAAAATAATCTGCAGTAGAGACCGCTTGCTATATCTCCGAATGCTTCACTACTCCGGACATTTGATCCTTTAAACGGGGGGGGGGTCCTGTGGACCTCCAGAACTTTCCGGACTACAGCTCCCGATATTCCCGACTGTTGCCCATGTTGTCTGGGGCCGATGGGAGTTGAGTTTGAGACCACCTTGAGGGCTACAGGTTCTGCACCACTGCTGTAAATGGCTTTAATTCAAGGGTGGGTAGGTCTGCCGTATCAAGGTATTGTGACTCGTTCAGTCACAAACAAACATCACCTGTCCTGGTTGGAGTGGAAGCGGTTTACCGTGGAGAGTAACTCATTCAGAAATGCAGAGGTCATCTCCTCTGAGGTCAGATGCTTCTTGGGGTCTGGACCTAAACCTAATCCATCCTACCCCATAGGCCATTTTGACAGGTGGTTGTGGTTGGTGTTAGGTGACCATAAAGGTAAAGGGATCCCTGACCATTAGGTCCAGTCATGACTGACTCTGGGGTTGCGGCGCTCATCTCACTTTATCGGCCAGGGGAGCCGGCGTACAGCTTCCGGGTCATATGGCCAGCATGACTAAGCTGCTTCTGGCAAACCAGAGCAGCGCACGGAAACGCCGTTGACCTTCCCGCTGGAGCGGTACCTATTTATCTACTTGCACTTTGACATGCTTTCGAACTGCTAGGTTGGCAGGAGCAGGGACTGAGCAACAGGAGCTCACCCCGTCACGGGGATTCGAACCGCCAACCTTCTGATCGGCAAGTCCTAGGCTCTGTGGTTTAACCCACAGCGCCACCCGCGTCCCCTAGGTGACCCTACTTTGATGGAAATAATTGGGTGGACACTCTATAAGCGGTCTGTTGTGGTCATCACCTTAAAATCTTGAGATGGCCTTGGGAATTTCTGAGGCCAGAAAACAGGGGTGCTGTTATTTGCGTTGTAGCCAGCGAACTTTAAGGTGCTGGTGCTCTCGTGTTTAAATGAAAAGACAGCATCAAAGCTCTTGAAAAGGCCGCCAAGGTTTGTAGGAGATAACCAGACCTTATGGGTGGATTAGATGGACATTCCCTTCTATTTGTAGTGAAAACGGGCTCAGAGTTTGCCGTGCTCCACAACGGCTCTTTAAGGGGACCGGCCGAGAACATCCCACCAGAACACGGAGAGTGCAATCAAACAGGCAAGATTTACAGATATTCTAGCTAAATGCCTATCATGATGACAGGTGGGATGTGTGCAGAGAAAGGGTTTTAATCCTGCAGCAATTCCTGCAAGATACCATGCATCTTTATGAACTCTGAGCAGACTGCAGCATCCCTGTAAGTGATGGCCAAGCTGTGCAGCATCAGAGCCAGCAGACAGGGTTTGCAGTAACCTCAGGTGTTCTCATAGCAGCCCCAGTTTGTAATCCACTCTTATAGGGAAAAGTTATCCGTGGATATGGAAGCTAATAAAAGATGCACTCAGGCACACCGTTGGAGGTGAGAACTAACCTGCTGCCTGCTATTCATGGAATTAAGCCTGCTCTTTTTGGGTCAGTGGTATTGTGTTCCCTGGTCACATTAGAGTGGGACAGAAACGTTGGGAACTAATTTAATTAGGAAGGAGAGGTTCTCTTTTTCGTTATTATTGTGGGTGTATTTCGACATAACCTGCGGTGGCAGTAAGGATCTCGATGTGCAAATTTGTAGCTCTGCTTTAAGAAAAGAAAACAAACCCAGGTGTCTGGAGAAGCAATGTCGGTTAAACCAGTTTTAAAATCAGTTTAGGGTTCAAGTTTGGACAGAGCCCAAGCTGGTTCATATTCCCACTTTGAGAAACAAGTGGTTGATTTGGGAGTGGGAGTGGGAGTGGGAGTGCCATCCCTCCTCCCACAACGTGATATGCCAAAATCCAGCATCTAAGTCAGGGTTTCTCCCAGTCACCAACATCCTTGACCTTTTAGCTAGGGATGATGGTGACTGGGAGTGGCCGCCGAGACCACATAACACCTTTCCTGAAAGACCTTCATTGGCTCCCAGTACGTTTCCGAGCACAAAGTGTTGGTGCTGACCTTTAAAGCCCTAAACAGCCTCGGCCCAGTATACCTGAAGGAGCATCTCCACCCCTGTCATTCAGCCCAGACACTGAGGTCCACCTCCAAGGGCCTTCTGGCGGTTCCCTCGCTGCGAGAAGTGAGGTTACAGGGAACCAGGCAGAGGGCCTTCTCAGTAGTGGCACCAGCCCTGTGGAATGCCCTCCCACCAGATGTCAAGGAAATAAACAACTATCTGACTTTTAGAAGGCATCTGAAGGCAGCCCTCTTTAGGGAAGTTTTTAATGTTTGATGTTTTATTGTGTTTTTAATATTCTGTTGGGAGCCGCCCAGAGTGGCTGGGGAAACCCAGCCAGATGTGCAGGGAATAAATAATAAATCATCATCATCATCGTCCAAAAACAGCTAGAGACCCAAGCTTGGGAAACCCAGATCTAAGTTAGGTGCCTTTTCTTTGGTTCACTGAAGGACAGCTTGATTCTTGAGCCTTCATGAGCTGTGCATAGCCTAAGCAGTGGGATCAAAGCTAAGCTCTTTGTCCTTCTCTTTTGCAAATCAGATGAAATGTTGAATCCGAGTTGCTACGCAGCCCAGATCCAAAACCTTCTGTGACAGTGTTACAGAAGATACCCAGTTCATTTTGTGTGTGTGTGTGTGTGTGTGTGAACCCACTATAGCATAAAAGAAATACGAAGCACCTTGTTTTTGGATTTAGCACACATTCGAGGATGTGATCAGAATATGCACACCTGGTTTTCTTGGCCTTTTCTCTATCATGGGTCAGATATTGAGAACAAAGGATGGAGGCTCCCAAGCCACACTCTTTTCATATCTGGACATTGACCGGGAAGATTAGACACCAAGAGGACAATAAATGTGAAAAAGAATGGATTAACTTTATAGTAAACACTTAAAAACGTAAACACTTAAAAATGTTAGCAGGATTGGATTAGCACTTGTAATATAATTTGATAAAGGATATTAAAAAAGAGATTTAATAGATTGTATAAAAGTATTTAGACACAGAAAAGAGAAGACATAATTACAGTGGTACCTCAGGTTAAGTACTTAATTTGTTCCAGAAGTCTGTTCTTAACCTGAAACCGTTCTTAACCTGAAGCACCACTTTAGCTAATGGGGCCTCCTGCTGCCGCTGTGCCGCCGGAGCACAATTTCTGTTCTCATCCTGAAGCAAAGTTCTTAACCTGAAGCATTATTTCTGGGTCAGCGGAGTCTGTAACCTGAAGCGTATGTAACCTGAGGTACCACTGTATTGAAAACCAGGGAGAGGAGTGGGGGGAAGTCCGGGGGTCAGAAGAACCCCTATAAAGATACTGAATTTGCTTATAGATTAATGCAAATAATAATAAAGTGTGTGTGTGTAACATCTGGACATTCAGATACAGTCATACCTCAGGATAAATACAATGGTGCCTCGCAAGACGAAATTAATCCGTTCCGCGAGTCTCTTCCTCTTGCGGTTTTTTCATCTTGCGAAGCACGGCTATTAGCGGCTTAGCGGCTATTAACGGCTTAGCGGCTTTTAACGGCTTAGCGGCTTTAAGAAAAAGAAAACAAACTCGCAAGAACTCGCAAGACGTTTCGTCTTGCGAAGCAAGCCCATAGGGAAATTCATCTTGCGGAACGACTCAAAAAACGGAAAACCCTTTCGTCTAGCGAGTTTTTCGTCTTGCGAGGCATTCATCTTGTGGGGCACCACTGTACACTTCAAGATGAGCGCGTTCGGGTCACGCTCCATTACTTCCGGGTTTCGCCGCTCGCACATGCGCAGGCGGTCAAAATGCCACCACACGCATGCGCAGAAGCAGTTAAACACGACCCGCACACACGCAGACGCGCTGTCGCATCTTACGTTATGTTCAGGATGCGAACGGGGTTCCGGAACGGATCCCGTTCGCATCCCGAGGTACCACTGTACTGCAATATATGACGGCTTGCACAACCTCCTATCTGTACTTCCGTTTCTGAGCCATAACTTTTTATCTCGCTGGCTAGGCTATGCAGACAAAGAAAGCAAGAGCATCCATGTGCCCAGCGATTCGGAGAGCGAGGTCTTCTTTGACAGCCTGGAACCCGGGGAACCCAATGAGGTGATGATGACTAATGGGGTGGGAGGTAATTGTGAAGTTAACTATGAGCCTTCTCCTTACTTTTTGATAGACCTGATCTAGATTTTCTTTTGCTATGAACATGCTCTTGTTAATTAATTGATTACATTAATTTGATAAAAATTATACACTGCACGGTTGTAAAAAATAAAACCACAACCCAGCCTCAAAGCAGTTTACCAAAGTTAAAACAGTAAAATCAAGAAGAATTTACAACTCTATTTTAAAACATACAACTTAAAATACTAAAAAAGAAAATGAGTTTAATCTCCTCATTGAGATGGGCAATCATGTACTGAGCTGCTAAATCAAACCAGAGCCGCTTTGAAGGAAGTAGCTATTTTTTTTTATTAAAAAAAAAATGGTAAGATTTGCCCGCCCCAAAAAAACTTTTATAAAATATACTGATTTATGTGTATTGAGGCAAAGTTTGCAGACTTGGGAATATTGATAAAACTGAAACGAAACTCCAGCAACAACAGCAATTTTATTATATATAACTGGCCCATCTGGCTTTGCGTAAATAGCTTGGTGGGTTAACTCACACACATATACATTAATTCACCTAAGGAAGGTCAAATCTGCAAAGAACAAGAGACAGCGCAATACTTTCCATTAGTCTTAAAATAATGGAGCATGATGCATCATCTTAACGGCTGACCTTTGGTATACTTTCCTAGCGAAGAATGAAATGGTTTTCATTTGCCAACGCTGTTAGGAAACAGGAACAGCCCTGCCCATTGAGCCTTCTTGCTTTGCCGTAATTCAAGTCACAACAGCTCTAAAACTCCATTATGACATCCAGCTCAGAGCTATTACTAGAAACAGTCCCTCAGGGTACAATCCTTCCATCTCCCCAGGGAACCCTGGGAATTGTAGTTCTGCGGAAGGAAGGCTTGATCATTCTGTTACAGTGAACAACCAGCACCTCCACTGTCCCAAGATCTGTTGGAGGAAGCCATGACGGTGAAAATGGAACGGAGCCAGGAATGGGAAAAAAGCAGTCTAGGCATGCCCATACAATTTCAATTCCTCTCTCGTTTCCCCCACAGGATAGGAGGCTATCAGCCATGCCAAACCTCCCCCTGAACAATATTCAGAGTGGAGAGAAGACTGGATATAAGACTTCAGCATCTCCAACCAGGGAAGGGAAACCCAACAAAGGTGGTATAGACGCGAGACTAACGTTTTGACTTAAAAACAAACAGGGGGAGACAGGTCCAATGTAGGTCCTTGAATAATGCAGTTTTCTTCTTCTTCTTCTTTGGCGATCACTCATAGCCGAGTAAGATTGTCTTCCATAAACACGGTTTTAACAGTGAGTGCGAAAGTGACTGTGGAGGCCAATTCTGGATCCACACTCCCTTCCACAGTGGGGACACAGGTTTCCGGGCGGGAGTTGATCACTGTGAGGGTTTGCCAAGTGTGCCTTTCTCTTAGCACGTTCCTCCCTTTTGACCTGAGTTCGAGCGTCTTCAAAGCCCACGACACCTTTGGTAAAGGCTGATCTCCAACTGGAGCGCTCGCAGGCCAGTGTTTCCCAGTTGTCGGAGTTTATGCTACATTTTTTTATATTTAACTTGAGTCTTTGAACCTCTATGGTCATGGGTAGGCAAACTGAGGCCCGGGGGATGGATCTGGCCCAATCACCTTCTAAATCTGGCCCACAGATGGTCTGGGAATCAGCGTGTTTTTACATGAGTAGAATGTGTGCTTTTATTTAAAATGCATCTCTGGGTTATTTGTGGGGCATAGGAATTCGTTCATTTATTTATTTTTCAAAATACAGTCCGCCCCCACCCCCCACCCCACAAGGTCTGAGGGACAGTGGACTGGCCCCCTGCTGAAAAAGTTTGCTGAGCCCTGCTCTATTGTTGACCACCGGCATTACGCTTTCCATTTTTAAGTTCGGAATAGAGTAGTTGCTTTGGACGACGATAATCAGGCATCGGCACAACATGACCAGTCCAACGAAGTTGATGTTGAAGAATCATTGCAGCTTGCACTGTTGGCAAGGAAAGGCCATTTTCTGTTCTGCGAGTGCAAACAAGCCCCAGTGTAATTAATTCAGTTTGATCCTGAGATAAGTCTGTGAGGCAATGTCCCGGATCTGGTAGGAAGCAGGAGTTTTTGCTATGAAGAAACGGCAGATGTGCCAGGAGAGTCGGGGCTGTACAATTGCCACCATAACAGAAACAAACCTTTTGAGAGAAAGGCGAGCGATGGGAGCAGAAGGCAGGAAAAGGGCATCTCGTTCTCTGACCAGGAGGGCATTAAAGGGACCCCTGACCATTAGGTCCAGTTGTGGCCGACTGGGGTTGCGGCGCTCATCTCACTTTATTGGCCGAGGGAGCTGATGTACAGCTTCCGGGTCATGTGGCCAGCATGACTAAGTCGCTTCTGGAGAACCAGAGCAGCACACGGAAACGCCATTTACCTTCCTGCCGGAGCAGTACCTATTTATCTGTTGCACTTGACGTGCTTTCAAACTGCTAGGTTGGCAGGAGCAGGGACCGAGCAACGGGAGCTCACCCCGTCGCGGGGATTCAAACCGCCAACCTTCTGATCAGCAAGTCCTAGGCTCTGTGGTTTAACCCACAGCGCCATCCGCATCCCGCATATAGGGTTCTGTAAAACTGTTTAAACTAACTTTAATCTATTTGTCTCCTACCGTGATACAAAGCCTGGTCACACACATCCTGGGTCTTCTATTGGCCCAGGAGGGAAGCCTCCATTTTGCGGGGGGGGGGGCGTAGAGGAGAGACTTGATCTGGATTATGACAAACGGTGAAAGCCACCTCACCCAGTGTTGTGCTTCCAATGGAGGCCAGCCCCTTCCCCCCATGGCAATTTTGTTTAAAAAGTTTTATTGACATTCCAAAAACATAACCACGATAACAAACACAACTGAAAATGCCAGTCATTCAACAGGTTACGGAGTTGGGTGTACGTGGAGCCCACTTAATAGCAAACAAAATGTTATGGACACTCCCAAGTCACTTAAGATGCAATTGAATATATATCCACACCAATGGGGGCCTAGCCATAGTCTCATTACCGTAAGGTAAAAGGACCCCTGACCATTATGTCCCGTTGTGACTGACTCTGGGGTGGCAGCGCTCATCTCGCTTTATTGGCCGAGGGAGCCGGTGTACAGCTTCCGGGTCATGTGGCCAGCATGACTAAGCCGCTTCTGGCAAACCAGAGCAGCGCACGGAAACGCCGTTGACCTTTCCGCTGGAGCGGTACCTATTTATCTACTTGCACTTTGACGTGCTTTCGAACTGCTAGGTTGGCAGGAGCAGGGATCGAGCAACAGGAGCTCACCCCATCGCGGGGATTCGAACCGCCAACCTTCCGATCGGCAAGCCCTAGGCTCTGTGGTTTAACCCACAGCGCCACCCACGTCCCTTTCTCATTACTGTAGGTCTAGCTAATAAAAGGGAACAAGAGTTGCATCAAATCTGCCATGTTTTGATACGCTTCCCTTTATGGCTGTTTCTTGGTAAAGGAAAACAAACCCGCAAGGGCCACTCACACGATTAATGCCATATAAAGTGACAATTTATCTGGCCTTTTAAAATAGAAAATAAAAAACGCCTGTAGTGACAAAAGGAACTATCTCCAAAATAGTGACAGGCATACACATGGTATGGAGGGATCAAAGAGCTGTTCTAGGCCATTCACCACCTTGGGACAACGTGGTACAGTCAAACCTCAGTTGTCGAACGTAATCCGTTCCGGAAGCCCCTTCGGCTTCCAAAACGTTCGACAACCGAGGCACGGCTTCCAATGGGTTGCAGGAGCTTCCTGCACTCAAGCGGAAGCCATGTCGGATGTTCAGCTTCCGAAAAACATTTGAAAACCGGAGCATTTACTTCTAGGTTTTCGGCGTTCGGGAGCCGAAACGTTCCAAAATGGAGCCGTTCAGGAACTGAGGTTTGACTGTACTACCCTAAAAAAAAATAACTGCTGAAGGAAATCTGCTTGGAGTTTTTGTATGCCTCTCTCAATGGCCCATCTTGGAGGTGCTTCTCCACATTGCAAATGGCCGGATCTAGAAAGGTTGGTGCCCAGGAGCCAAGATTTGCTGCCCACGATAAAATTGCTTAAGACAGGCAGCATGGATTCTAGCCTCGCCTCATGATCTTTTTTTCCTGAGAGCCCTGAAATATCCTGTGTGCTTTCCCAACCACCCCCTCCATAGCAACTCTCTACTATCTTGGAATATTCTTCTCATCTGCTCAGAGGTTAATTAGTAACAGACCTGTGAAGATAGCGCTGCATAGCAAGGATGGGTCATACATCTTGCCTCCACCGATTCCCCAGTCCCTCTTCTCCTTCTGTGTTCCTCACTGAAGTTTGGCCTAACTTTTCCAGTGGGGTTTTGTGCTGCCTAGCATGGGCCCTTTTTGCCCAGCCTTTGCATATGCTCAGCAAAGATGTTGTCTTGTTTACAGAAACAAGAATTAGGGGAGAGCGGCAAGCGGTGCCGGCCTGACACCATTCACCGTTGTGTCTCTGATGAGACAATCCTTGATGCCCCCTGTGAAAAATGAAGAAACCCCAGAACTGGGGCAATGGAGAAAACCTCCTGACCTTGATGAGTGGTCTCTGAGAAAGTGAATGTGCAAGCTAAGCACATACTGAGTCAGACTGCTTCCTGCACTAACTGGTAGTGACTCTCCAGGGATGCTCTCAGAGATTCTTTTAACTAGAGGCGGCAGCACCAAACCTGAAATCTTCTGCATGCAACTGTTTCCGAGCACAATTCAAAGTGTTGGTGCTGACCTTTAAAGCCCTAAACCAGGCAGTCCCAAAACATCTGGAGGGCCAAGTTTGCCTATGCCTGCCCTAAAAGGCCTCGGCCCAGTATACCTGAAAGAGCATCTCCACCCCCATCATTCACTGAGGTCCAGCTCCAAAGGCTTTCTGGAGTTTCCCTCCCTGTGAGAAGCGAGGTTACAGGGAACCAGGCAGAGGGCCTTCTCGGTGGTGGCACCTGCCCTGTGGAACGCCCTCCCATCAGATGTCAAGGAAACAAACAACTATCTGACTTTTAGAAGACATCTGAAGGCAGCCCTGTTTAGGGAAGTTTTTAATGCTTGATGCTTTATCCTGGTTTTAATATTATGTTGGGGAAACCCAGCCAGATGGACGGGGTATAAATAATAAATTATGATTATGATTATGATTACTTGGTTTATCCCAAACATTTGGGACTGTAGGCCAGGGCCTTTTAAAACACAAGGAGCCATTTCCAGGCAGGCTTGAGCTCCATCCACCACCTCATATTTTAGAAACTAAGACTTGCTTGTCATCAGTTCTGATGCAATGGAAAGCCCTAGTGGCTTTCAGAGGAGGGGAGTGACTCTGATAAAAGAAAAAGACTACAATCAAGTGGATGCCCCCCAGTTATCTCATGTTCCTTCCTCTAATCTAGACACCACAACCATTAAGAACAGGGGTAGGCAACCTAAGACCCAGGGGCCAGATGCGGCCCAATCACCTTCTAAATCCGGCCCGCGAATCAGCGTGTTTTTACATGACTAGAATGTGTGCATTTGTTTAAAATGCATCTCTGGGTGGTTTGTGGGGCATAGGAATTCGTTTATTTCCCCCCAAAATATAGTCCGGTCCACCACATGGCCTGGGGGACGGTGGACCGGCCCACGGCTGAAAAAGGTTGCTGACCCCTGAATAAGAACATAATAAGGAGAGCCTGCCGATCAGGCCAGTTGCCCATCTCACAAGTGGCCTTCCAGAAGCTCATGGGAAACTTGAAAGCAGGACCGGAGCGCTTAAGCAATTCCTGATCCACAAGAGGATTTAATCCTTTCCCTGACCACCACCACCCAGTCACAGGTGTAGATCTGGAATGGGTGTGACTTCCGAGGCCTGGGAGCTCTCGCTTTAGAAATCAACTCTAGGATTATATCTGAGAGCTGCTGCCTTTTAAGGTTCCGCCCCTTTAAGTCAGGGACGCGGGTGGCACTGTGGGTTAAACCACAGAGCCTAGGACTTGCTGATCAGAAGGTCGGCAGTTCGAATCCCCGCGACGGGGTGAGCTCCCGTTGCTCGGTCCCTGCTCCTGCCAGTTTGAAAGCACCTCAAAGTGCAAGTAGATAAATAGGTACCACTCTGTCGGGAAGGTAAACGGCGTTTCCGTGCGCTGCTCTGGTTCTCAAGAAGCGGCTTAGTCATGCTGGCCACATGACCCGGAAGCTGTACGCTGGCTCCCTCGGCCAATAAAGCGAGATGAGCGCCACAACCCCAGAGTCGGCCACGACTGGACCTAATGGTCAGGGGTCCCTTTACCTGTAGTAAATGGTAAAGGTACCCCTGCCCATACGGGCCAGTCTTGACAGACTCTAGGGTTGTGCGCTCACCTCACTCTATAGGCCGGGGGCCAGCGCTGTCCGCAGACACTTCCGGGTCACGTGGCCAGCGTGACAAGCTGCATCTGGCGAGCCAGCACAGCACACGGAACGCCGTTTACCTTCCCGCTAGTAAGCGGTCCCTATTTATCTACTTGCACCCGGGGGTGCTTTCGAACTGCTAGGTTGGCAGGCGCTGGGACCGAGCAACAGGAGCGCACCCCGCCGCGGGGATTCGAACCGCCGACCTTTCGATCGGCAAGTCCTAGGCGCTGAGGCTTTTACCCACAGCGCCACCCGCGTCCCCCCTTTACCTGTACCTTACCCTTTAAGTCATATCTCTTTTGATCTCTTTCTCCCTGTCCCATGTTACAGAGAGGGGTCTCGGCAGCAGTGCAGGTGCCGTGATCCAGCAAGACCTTGACCTGCAGGTGATGAGCGCCATTCAAGCTTTGCAGGAGGACATGAAGAAAGTGATGGAGAGACTCGGCTACCTGGAATCCCAGGCAGCTTTCCAGGCACGTTGGGAGACACATTCATTTCTTTTATAAATAAATGCATTGATTTTTCAACGCAGCTGGGGGGGGGACTTTCTGAGATATTGCAAAGCATTGTGGATGCATTGCGTGAGTTGTATAAAAACTTACAGTCCCTAGCTCTCATCAGGCAGTGCATCTTCCTGCACATCTGGGAACAAGGAACTTCCTAAAACCAAAACCACCTTTGCCAAAACAAGGGTGTCTGTGCATTATCTTTAGGAGAAATTCTCCTCTGTGCTGCGCTGGCATCCGAGGTGCATCTGTCAAGGACACAAGACAGGGCCTGCTCAGTGGCTGCAGCTAGACTCTGAAACAGGGGTAGGCAAACTACGGCCCGGGGGCCGAATCCGGCCCAATCGCCTTCTAAATCTGGCCCGTGGATCAGCATGTTTTTTACATGAGTAGAATGTGTCCTTTTATTTAAAATGCATCTCTGGGTTATTTGTGAGGCATAGGAATTCGTTCATTCCCCCCCCCATAATAGATGATAGATAGATAGATAGATAGATAGATAGATAGATAGATAGATAGATAGTCTGTCCGGCGCACTACATGGTCTGAGGGATGGTAGACCAGCCCACGGCTGAAAAAGTTTGCTGACCCCATGCTCTGAAACCTCCTGCCTTTGTCCCCTCACTGATGAACTTTGGCCGATAGGATCAATAACTGCTAATGATTCTCTCTTATTCGCAGCCGACTGCCCAGTTTTAGAAACTTCAAACAGCCCCCCTAGTGGAGAAGATCTGGGTTCTTTTGTTAATGGAGAAACTTTCCCACCAATTAAAGGTTTCAGGATCTTTAGGCAAAGTTTTTCTGGCTATAAGGTTCCGTGTTATGGCGATAGAGAAACGGTTATTTAACCTTGAGTAACCCATTACTACCCATATATGTTTTGTGCTATAGCAGTTGTACTCAGTTAAAACCAATAAGAAGAGTTAAATATTTCAGTGGCAGGAAACAAGAGTTGTATTTCTTCATTCTGGATTTTATGGTTTGTGGCCTGTATCTGTTTAACTTCATTGTGCAGCTGTTTCGTGAAGATGGCTTTAACTGTGTTCCACACAAATTCTTTGGGACGGTGTTAGCTGTGACACTGTCCAGAGGTGTTCAGCTGTGGGGTTGTTGTTTTTTATGAATGCCTTCTGAGTTTATTTATTAAACCCAGATTACCTTGCATGTTTGCTTGTCTCTTTTCATGGGGGGCCATGTATAATCTTGTAATGATCCTGTCCAGTGCTTTTCCTAAAAAAATATGTTTAGGGGTACTCTCATTTTCCTACTCATATTGAAATACAGTGGTGCCTCGCAAGACGAAATTAATTCGTTCCGCGAGTTTTGTCGTCTTGCGAAGCATGGTTTCGGAAAAGTTTTGGAAAAGCTTCAAAAATCACCAAAGTCTTCAAAAACCTCAAAAAAGGCTACCACACCACGTGCTATAAGTTGCTCCTTGAAGTCAAGTCGCAACTGTATTAACGGTGTTAAGAAAAAGGAAACAAACTTGCAAGACGTTTCCGTCTTGCGAAGCAAGCCCATAGGGAAAATCGTCTTGCGAAGCAGCTCAAAAAACCAAAAACCCTTTCGTCTAGCGAGTTTTCCATCTTGCGAGGCATTCGTCTTGCGAGGTACCACTGTACTGTACTGCCCCTCAATGAGGCCAAACTTAGATTCATAAAATGTTTAGGGGTATGCGTCCCCCTAGAAAAAAAGCACTGATCCTGTCAAACTTTTGTACAGCCACCTGTGTGTCCCCCCCCCTTCTGCCCTGATGAAATATGAGACGACATAGTATAAGAAAAGGAGGAGGAAACATTAGAAAAAAATATTTCCATAAGAAGCTGAAAAGACTACTGGAAAATTAGAAAACAGTTCAGAAACACACACACACCCCGCGCGCGCGAAAGCTCACAATGCAATGTATCCATTCACAACTTTTTTTTTCTTTTGGTAAAATAAAAATGGACAATAATCTTGAGAAAGAACGGAGAGATTAATGGTAGGCAGCGTCAGTTATGAAACTTTGTGCAAAACTGCCAAGGATCCTTTTATTTTTCGTTTAAAAATATTTACATAATCTTCTTTTTGGCCTTAGAAAACCCCTTTAAAAGATCATAGATTGGGAAAGTGCACAGGCTTCTAGATGCTCACCGTGATTTTTCTGCCTTCCAGGGCCACACGTCGATGCTGAATCCTTGTCGGCCAACCTCCTCGCACAACAGAAAGGTATGTGGCAAGTATTTCTTAAGTGCGGTCCCTGCCTTTTATCACTTTGATGCAACCAGGCATCTAAGTGGGTTGGTTTAATTAAAGAACACCAAACCAGAAACACAGGAAGTAATCACAAAGAAGAGTGTGCCTCTGGGCATGTGTAAAATGCTTTTTCTGACCATCCGAAATAGCAGCCCACCTGCCTGGATCCGCTTGCCATCAACCTGTTAATCAGCAAGGAAATGCTGATCGATGAACGAAGCTTCGGTCAATTTCTCCCATTTATTAACCAATTCAAACTTGCATTCTCGCCTGACTGGTTAATTGGAATAATGTAAGCCAGTTAGAGAAAGCAGGACTCCTTATTGTGTCCTGGGAAGCAGCAGCAGGTGCCATTCCGCAGTGCTTTCCCTTCAATCCAGTCCAGGATTTTACCCCCACCCTCTTCTCTTGTTCCCCAGGAACCGCCAGGTTGGCCCTCACAGCTGTCTCCTCGCACCTGGTTTTTCCTGCTGGCTTGGCCTTTCATCATCCAATGGCTGCATTGGTATTTTCAGAGGAAGAAGAGGTGAATTGCGCAAAGACATCAAACCCCCTTGGAAAAAGCAAAAGAAGCCCTGGCACTTTTGAACTCTGAACATTCGACGCTTGCCAACTTTTCCAGCCTAGCAGGGATGGGCACGCCTTGAAGGGTTTTTGCCTAACCCCAATGCTGCAATCTTGGGATACGGGTGGGTGGTCAGTGGATGGGGAAAGATATTTAATCAAATTTGGGTGGTGCTAACCAGTACGCTTTTTGGGGGGGGGAGGCAGGTAGCGCTGTAGGTTAAACCACAGAGCCTAGGACTTACCGATCAGAAGGTCGGCAGTTCGAATCCCCGCGACGGGATGAGCTCCCGTTGCTCGGTCCCTGCTCCTGCCCACCTAGCAGTTCGAAAGCACGTCAAAGTGCAAGTAGATCAATAGGTACCGCTCCGGCGGGAAGGTAAACGGCGTTTCCGTGCGCTGCTCTGGTTCGCCAGAAGCAGCTTAGTCATGCTGGCCACACGACCCGGAAGCTGTACACCGGCTCCCTCGGCCAGTTAAGCGAGATTAGCACCGCAACCCCAAAGTCGGTCACGACTGGACCTAATGGTCAGGGGTCCCTTTACCTTTACCTTTAAATAAAGGAAGTGAGGGGGGGTCATCTCTGCAAAAAGAAACCGAGGGTCACGGGGCTTGTTCAGTCACACGCACGGAGAAACCGAGGCTGGCGCTCACAATTCGAGCAGGCGACACGCAATCATTCAAGACTTCGCACGGCTCTGAACTGGGGGGTTTGTGGCAGGGGATAGGCAGGGCTTGTGTTAACTAATCCAAGGGGTGGGGCTTTTTTTGCCGCAATTCCCCTACCTGGAGAGGAGGGGGGGCGGATTTTTTTGAACTCAGGGTACCTAAAGTATTCCCAGCTGTGGGAAATAGTCGGATGCTAATAAAAGATACTGCAGTCCTCTTCTCCTTTTTCTCAGCTCAAAAGACGTGGGGGCTCCGATGCGAACTAAACATTCCCCCCCCCAAAAAAAAATTTGCTTTTGTGCCCCGTGCTCCGCTTGCCCGCCCTTCCATTCTCAACCAAGTGAGATCAGAAAAAGGAACACTCTGGTTAGGGCCATGCAGTGTCTGTTCTGCCACCTGGAAATAAAATTTAAGGCTACCGCTGCCAGGCTCCCACACTCTGTTCCAGAAACTGGAATCTGGCCTTTGACTGTGAGGAATCAACCCGTATCATACATTTATCTGCAGGGATAGTCAGAATATGGCGGAAGGCAGAGGCCGGGTTGGGCAATAACTGGCCTCACTTTCTGACGGTATCCCCCCTATCAAAAGAGCCGGATTCTTTGCCACAGCGTTTTTTCCTGTGGCAGGGAGTTCCACAGCTCAGCTTTCCTCAAGTTAAGCACAGGTGTTTGCTCTGGGGCCATTGTGACTCAGCAGAATTTGCTAAGCCAGAGGCTCTAAATGGAGGAGACCTTTTCTAATTTTCTCCTCCCACGCTTATATGCCTCTCAAAGTAAATTTTTTTTCTCATCTCCCGTGATTTCTTCTCCCATTCTCCTTTCATCCTCTACCTTATTATGTCTCTCCCCGCCCCCCTGCAAAAGGCCTACGTTTCTTTCCTCCCTCGTCCTTTTATGTTCACTTCTTCCTCCTATAACAGCTTTTCGCCTCGTCATCTTCCTTTCCATTTCCCGGTTTGTTTTAAGTAACGATTAATTTGTATCTATTCTTATTATATATTAACTTTTTGTCTCTTTCTAATTCCCTTCAACACCTCCTCCAGACCTTCCCCTTCAGAGGAAGGAAGCCTTCCTTCTGGCCTCTGCAAGGAACATCTCCATCTCCCGGCCACCTCTAACCAGTATGCAAGGAATTTTTGGTGCTGGCGTTGGTCCAAGAAAGAGGCTAGCAAGCAGGGCAGACAAGCGAGGGGGCAACAGGCACTGAGACCCACCTGAAAGTGGCTGATAATCACCATCCACTAGTGTGCTTTTGGAGCGATAGGTGTGGCCTGCATAAAAATACAAAGAGCCGGCTTGCTGGAGCACATCAAAGGCCCAAGAAACCCAGTGTGCTGTCTCCAAGAGTGGGCAGCGAAAAACTCACAAGCCTGGCGTGGGTGGAGGAAAAACTGCATAATACCACACTAATATATAGACATACAATGGTAATAATAATAATAATAATAATAATAATAACAACAACAACAACAACAACAACAACAACAACAACAACAACAACAACAACAACAATAATTTATTATTTGTACCCCGCCCATCTGGCTGGGTTTCCCCAGCCACTCTGGGCGGCTTCCAACAAAGATGAAAGATACACTAAGATGTCACATATTAAAAACTTCCCTGAACAGGGCTGCCTTCAGATGTCTTCTGAATGTCAGGTAGATGTTTATCTCTTTGACATCTGATGGGAGGGCGTTCCACAGGGCGGGCGCCACTACCGAGAAGGCCCTCTGCCTGGTTCCCTGTAACTTGGCCTCTCGTAGTGAGGGAACCACCAGAAGGCCCTCGGAGCTGGACCTCAGTGTCCGGGCAGAACAATGGGGGAGGAGACACTCCTTCAGATATACTGGACCGAGGCCGTTTAGGGCTTTAAAGGTCAGCACCAACACTTTGAATTGTGCTCGGAAACGTACTGGTACCTCGGGTTAAGTACTTAATTCGTTCCGGAGGTCCCTTCTTAACCTGAAACTGTTCTTAACCTGAAGCACCACGTTAGCTAATGGGGCCTCCTGCTGCCACCGTGCCGCTGGAGCACGATTTCTGTTCTCATCCGGAAGCAAAGTTCTTAACCTGAAGCACTATTTCTGGGTTAGCGGAGTCTGTAACCTGAAGCATCTGTAACCTGAAGCATATGTAACCCAAGTTACCACTGTATTCACACACACACACACACCTGCCACTTTGAGGACGGTTGTTCATAAACTGGGATATAAATGGGAAAGTAACTTTAAAAGTAAATAAGTGAGATATTGAAAGAAATTGGAGAAAACAGGTGCTATTTTTCTAGGGGGGGGGAAGGTGCTGGAACTTATCATGACAAGGAAGTCCTTAATCCTCAGCAGTCATGATTATAATTGGCCCCAACAAACCTACTAAATAGGTGGCATGATCTGAGTTCAATAGCTAGGGGCAGACCTCCAACATTTCCCCAATGAAAATAGGGATGTCCCTATTAATAATAATATTGGGATGTCCCAATGAAAATAGGGGTGTCCCTATTTATTTAATAATAATAATAATGATGATGATGATGATGATGATGATGATGATGATGTAATATGTTTGTACCCCATCTATCTGGCTAGGTTCCCCCAGCCACTCTGGGCGGCTTCCAACATATATAAAAACAAAACATTAAAACATTTTTTTAAAAAAACTTTCTATACCAGGCTGCCTTCAGATGTCTTCTAAAGGTTGTAGATTTACTTATCTTACTGGGCTCAGGAACTGCATAACTCCATACCCTCCAACATTTCTCCAATGAAAATAGGGACGTCCTAAGGAAAAGCGGGATATTCTGGGATCAAATCAGAAACCGGGATGGCATCTATAAGTCTGGGACTGTCCCTGGACAATAGGGACACTTGGAGGGGCTAAGAGAGGAGAGCCACATTTCAGAGATTTCAGGAAAAGATGAAACACACAACAAACATTAGGGAGAATAATATCTATTATTCCCGTTTTACCATTCCATGCGAGACCTCGCTTCAAGGAACCATGAGCACAACAGAAGGATCCAGGTATCCAAATCCTGCGTGCCATAAAGGGATCTGGAATTTTTCACCCTCTCCCCTAATACAACAGGTCCATAGGCTGAATCCTATTTCTGCACATGGGTTGCTGTCACTGGACATGGATGCATAAACCTAACAGATCAAGGTTGCCAGCTTTCAAAACAACCTCCGTAGTTGCGCTTTTAACAGCAGCTCGCTTAGCACCCAGTACAGCTCATTATCTCCAAGCTATGAAAAAGTTTCCCAGGTGATTTCTGCACATATTCAAGGCACACCTAGGCAGTCTGTTGGTTCTCCCTGGGCAGTTTGTAACCCTAGATGAAGTTGTGTTTGCAGAGGTCCCAGATGCGAAACACTAAATTCTCCACCGTTAGCTCTGCCTGAATCTACCTAGACCATAGCTGTCAACCGTCCCTTATTTGGTGGGAAAGTCCCTTATTCCAGTGCCGTGTCCCATTGCTGTCCCTTATTGATGATGTCCCTTAAATTTCCCGGGTTTCAAAGGAAGCAGCTCCTCTCCTCCCTCCCTCCCTGCCGGCCAGGGAGGAGGGAGGCTCCAACTGTGTTGCTTGGCTGCGTTGCTCACCCAATAAGGAGTCTAAAATGACTGGGGGGTGGAGCTTGCATGCCTTGTGCCAATCAAATCGGCCACGTTGACTAGGGACTCGCCTTTGCTCAGCGCTTCCCAGCAGAGAGGTGACAGTGGTTTTCCTTGCTGCATCCCCTTTGCCAGGTTGCTGCGCTGTGGGAACCACCGCTTGAGGCTTCGTTGGGCTGCTGGTTGACTAAAATCCCTTATTTTGGCCGCTGATCCCTTATTTTCGAGGCTGCTGGTCCCTTATTTTCAAATCTGTAAGTTGACAGCTATGACCTAGACTGAGCTCCTACACACCAAGTTGGCTTTACTCTTGCTATGAACCAAGAAATCCTTGGCAAAGGATGGGCACATGGGATGCCAAACTAGTAGTGCCCTGGAAAAACCCAAAGACAGGCTCTTTGGAAGGCCCAGCAAGGCGGAGACCCCATGTTCCCTTTCAGGAACAAAAGACCTGAAAGCAAGCGACAGGAGGGAGGGGAATGGTTCTCTAGAAGAGTTCAGCCGTCTGCTTGGCGTTCCTTCGCCCTGCAAAGAGGGAACAGCCTGTCCAAGCAGGAGCCAGGCCAAATTTCAGGGAGCCAAAAAGTAGCAGCCTATCAGGAAAAGACTTTCTGTTCTGCTGTCAAGATATACCGATAGAACAGCCCCTCTAGAAAGCCAGAGACCAGGAGCAAGTTTTGAAAAGCAGGAAATGTCTCTGGAAAAAAAAAACCTGGGCTGATTTTGCTTTGTAATTTATTTGGAACAATCAGAGGGGGGCAGTGCGGTGGATTTTAATAGCCTTCAACTGAAAATGTTTACAGGGCAGTAACGTTTTTATTCCACCTCATGGCCCATAGGAGGCTGGTCACTGTTATTCCCATTTTACAGAAAGATAACCAAGGCTGCACAGTACAGTGGTACCTCAGGTTACATACGCTTCAGGTTACATACGCTTCAGGTTACAGACTCCGCTAACCCAGAAATAGTACCTCAGGTTAAGAACTTTGCTTCAGGATAAGAACAGAAATCGCACGGCGGCGGCGTGACAGCAGCGGGAGGCCCCATTAGCTAAAGTGGTACCTCAGGTTAAGAACAGTTTCAGGTTAAGAACGGACCTCCAGAACGAATTAAGTACTTAACCCGAGGTACCACTGTATTGAGCCCCAGAAGGACCACTCTGTCTCTGTGCAGGATATGTCCTGGGCCAGCAAGGGTTGCCACAGCCACACACAATAACTGTCAAAGGCCATTGGCAGGTTTGACAATGTTTTAGGCTGCATTTCTGAACATGCTGACAAGCCACTAAGTCCCACTGAACTAGCAGAGACTTATTTCTGAGTAAGCACGGTTAGGACTGCACTATCAGTACATCTTACTTCCTTTAAAGTTACTCAAAGGCTGGTGGCTGACAGGACCTGGTGTGGGAAAACGCATGTGGTTCAGTAACAAGAGCTGAAATCTGACCTGGACTGAAGCATTGCTTCTGCCGTGGCGCCATTGCCTTGGGCAAGCTGCAATTATCCAACCTCAGTTTCTCCGTCTGTAACATGGGCGTTTAGGAAGCGTGACTTTCACAGGCTGATCAGCTGGTTTGGGTTTTTTATTACCTGCCTACACCTTTGTCCTGGCGGATCTTAAGTAAGGTTGCACAAGGGATGTTTTGGGCAATCAGCAGCAGCTTGTGCAAGAGCAGTATTAGCTGCTTTCAGACCAGAGTACTTTGCATGCTCTCGGCTTCCCTGCAAATTAATTAAAACATGCCTTCTAAAAAAGCCTGGGTTTTTAAGCTGAAGAGGAGAAGCAAGCCTTCGGTTTTTAAAAGATCAAATATGCCGAATCTAACCTCCTACTCAGTTTATCCCTATTGTCTGATGCAAGTTCCTGTGGTGGAAAACCCAGCAGCAGATATTCTGTTGCACGGCCTCTCAAATTGGGTTTGATTATAACATCCCAGGCTCGCAGGACTGTTCTGCGATGATGGGGGAAAGTAAAGAACGCTCAGCGTGTTAAAACTGCATTTAAAATAACATTAAATCAAAAGGGGACTTTGGTTTTATCAAGGTTTTGTTTCCTGTGCATTCGCATACCATTTTTGCCTGAGCAGCCGAGGTGCATAAAGGAAGGCCTCTACCCATAACACCCTTTCTTGAAGAACCCTCAGTCCAGATCTCACAGGAAGCTGTTTTATTCTGAGTCAGGCCATATGGGTCCATCTACCTTAGTGCTGCCAACTCCAGCTGGCAGCAGCACTCCAGGGTTCCAGCCTTTCCTAGCCCTACCTGAAAAATGCCAGCGATTGAAAAAAACAAAACAACCCCAGGCCTTTTTGCATGCAAAGCAGGTACTCTGCTACCACAATCGTGCCTTGTGTGGAAGCAAGGGCTGGGCGGAGCCAGGGCTGCTGGCTTTCCAAGGTTTAGCTCAGTTGCAAATGCTGCCCCTGTTGTTTAAATCCGAAGGCCCGCAGGATTTGGAAATGCACAAAGCAACGCGGAAGGTGAAGGGGCCTCTGACCATGTGCAGAGTGCAGCTGCCTCTTCCACCACCATCCCGACTTTTGCATGCTCCTAAACAAATGGGACATTAGGGGGTGCTTCCACGTCAACCTTCCTGGATTAACCCCTCCCCACCTCCCCTTGCATCTCAGCTGTCAGAAACAGGAGGATCTGGCTAATAAATACCCTCTACTTTAATCTGCTGCAACTCACATAGATCTTCTACAGAGGAAGCAGCAACAACAACAACATGAAGAAGAGCCCAGGCTGCCAAGTCTTTAACCACTAGTCCACACAGCCTTCCCAGGCATCCTATTAAATCATTTGATCTAACGGGAGATCCGACGCTGTCCCTTTAAGACGGAACTTGTTTCCGACTTCGGTTTGTTTACAACTCCCTCCACACGGCTCAGTCACCGTCATAGGTTAACGCAGCGTGTGTTTCTTTAAACAATGAAGTGTCCTTCCGCCAGCAGGAGCTTCCTACCAACCTCTCTCATCCAGATCCTTTTCGCCACCCAATGACATCTCTTCTCTTTCCAAATACTCGACCTGTTACTGAAATTCCGCGGTCTTAAATCGCTGAGCTGTTACGGAATCTTCTTAATCTTCAAAAATAGCCTCGAACTACTTTTTGGGCAGTACCATTTTTTTTCCTACGGGGAGAATCATTAATCTTTTTTCCACCACCCCCATTACGAAAGATAAATATTATAAGGTGACATTCCTCTTAATATGTGCTCCGTGAGGACCATATGAAGATGTTAGGCCCCCGGGGGAGATTTCAACCCCCGCGTAAACTGATGGTATATTCCATTTCCCACCGCCTCCACCGCCTTCTACTATCCACCTCTAATTGGCTAAGCCACGAATGAAAGGCGTCCAGTATAGCCATTCATGCCTTACTTGTTTAGCAGTCCTATCAGAGAGCGTCTCGTTCTTCGTCCAACCCTACCCAATGGTTGATTGGCTGACGAACGCCGTCACGCCGCGGTTCTGGGAATCGTAGTCGTTGTGGCTAGAGCGAACTGTGCAATCGATCGGAAAGGAAAACCACAAATCCCGAGATGCCTTGGGACAAGGGATCTGAGAGGCGGCTGCGCACTCCGACGTGGGGGCTGGCTCGTTTATATAAGGCGAGGCGGCGAGCGGGGAGTAGCAGTTGAGAGCAGAAGGCGCTCGAGTAAGGGAGGAAAGAGGCCTGGGGAGGGGCGGGGCCAGCTGCGAGGGGGTGGGTGTTCGAATGTTGGGTGTGCGTGGAGAAGTTAACCCCTTCCCGGCTGACTTCGCAATTTGCTGTCTAAGGTGGAGCTCTCTTTTAACCCTTTCGATGCCGTGCTGGGATAGTTTTTTTAATTGTTGAAAGCTTGGGCCGGATTTTCTTCTCCTCCTCGAGCTGATTATTTGGATCTGAACTGGTGAGAGGAAGGAATAACACTTGGCATCGGGACAGCTCTTAACTCCTGCGGTGCTGGAACTGGATCCCCTTTAACCCGTAAGTGCCTGGATTGAGACAGTTTAACTCTTCGTTGCCTGCAGCTTAACCCCTCAAATTGCCTTTTTAATCTCTAGGATTTTGTTTACCCCCCCCCAACTTATTATTATCGTTTGCAAGTTGCTCTCAAGGGGGCATAGTTATTCTTGTTGCCTTGGGTCCTGTCCTAGCTCATATATCTCTCCATCCCCAACTTTTTTGTTTCCAGATGTGCAGAGTTGCCATGCAGCTGTTGATGTGAAGAGACAGGGTGGTAGCTGGTGGGGAGAACTGGTTCTTCAGCCCCTGCTCGACACTGCGAGGGTAATGCAGGCCTAAAGGCCTTCGGACGACAAGACTGCTGCTGATCATCTCCTGCAAGGGTTAACAGTGGCAACTTGCGAGAACCCGATCTGAAGTGGCCCAGAGGACTGCAAAGGGTTATAAATGAAGGCCAGCTCGTGAAGGGTTAAGGGCTTTGTTTCCTGCGAACTTTAAAAGCTGGCATCCACAACAGCAGGACCTAAAGAGTTAAAGACAGTTGCAGGTTTGAAGGAGGAAGAGGAGGGAGCCAGCCCCTTTGGACTGAGAACAACAGCACCCGAAATCCAAATCTTGGCTTGCCAACAATGGCTGACGCTGCCCTCTCTGCCAGCCAGCAGCAACCCAATGGCAAAACTTCTTCCTTCTCCCCCTGCAAGGATGCCAGTAGTGGAGAGGGGCCCTTTTTGGTGTCTCCACCCGCCAGCCGAGAAGTGCTCCAAGGAGAAGCGATGGACGGTAGGTGGCAGCCAAGAGAGACCAAGCAGCAGGATGGCAGCCCGATGAGCAGAGACGAAGAAGCCTGCCGTGATGCAGAACATGCGGTTCCTCCGGTTGGGAGAAGTTTGGGTGCCCCAGAGGGAGCCGTCGGCGGTGAGGTTGAGGACCAGAACTGTGGCGCACCTGCGGACGTCCAAAAGCCATGTGATGGAGAGCAGCTCGGCTTGCAGTGCCAAGCCTACTCCGGGCCTGTTGGCCAGAGGTTCAGGCCCCAAGCAGAAGGCGACGAGGAGGAGAAGCTGGTCAAGAAGAAGCACAGGAGACGTCCTTCCAAGAAGAAGAGACACTGGAAACCTTACTACAAGCTCAGCTGGGAGGAGAAGAAGAAGTTTGATGAGAAGCAGAGCCAACGGGCCTCCAGGCTGCGGGCAGAGATGTTCGCCAAGGGGCAGCCCGTCGCCCCGTACAACACCACGCAGTTCTTGATGGAGGACCACGACCAGGAAGAACCAGACTTGAAGACCGGCCTTTTCCCCAAGAAGACTGCCGCCAAGTCGGACGACACCAGCGAGGAAGACTTCTTCGTGGAGGAGGAAGGCGGTGGCAGCGACGGGATGGGAGGCGACGGCAGCGAGTTTCTCCAGAAGGACTTCTCGGAGACCTACGAGAAGTACCACGTCGAGAGCCTCCAGAACATGAGCAAGCAGGAGTTGATCACAGAGTACCTGGAGCTGGAGAAGTGTCTCTCCAGGATGGAGGAAGAGAACAACCGCCTGCGGATGGAGAACAAGAAATTCTTGGGGGACTCGACGGAAGACCCCCGGGTAAGTCAGCTAGAGGAGGAACTGGGCAGGTTGAGAGCTGAGAACCAAAAACTCTTGAAAGAGAACGAACTCAGCAGACAACAAGAGAAAGCTTTTCCCAAATTGGGAGAGTGATGGAACAGGGGAGATTTTTATTTTCTAAGGACTTGTGGAGTGGGACAGAAACCCCCCAACCCCCCGAAATCAGAATGCAAGAAGTTATTTCCATTTTGTGGGTGCGTGTGTGTGTGTATGTATATACATATATATATAGATTATGAATATATATATATATATATATATATGACAATGGACCTTTTCTTTTTTTGGTGATTTAATCAGAATAAATTCAAAACCTCATACTGTTTTTGAAGATAGCTCTAATGTAGTGTGTGCTCTTTCTTTAAATTATGTGTAATCAAAGGGGTCTCTGAGTGGGGTTCTTTTAAAACAAAACAGAACAGAACAATATCCAGCATTCATGGGAGAACTTTTTTTTTTTTTTTTTTGCAAAACTGCATCTGACTTGTTAAAACTATTATTTTGAGTGTCTTCTAAAGGGAAGACTAGTTGTGGGTGGAGGGAGAAGTGGCGAGGAGTTGTAAAAGGAAAACACAGTCACACTGTGACAAAAAGATATACAGATTCATGCTAAGAGTTCTAATAAACTGAAGGACATGTCAGCGTAATGATTCTGGTGTGGTTTCTAGAAAAATAATTCAAGATATTCTCCCTAGGTGGAGAATATTGTGAATCATTTTTCCAGGTGACATTTGGATGCCATTATTTAAAGTTTTAATGGGAAATTAATTGGGACAGGCCGCTTTAAGCCATTGTTTTGACTTACTAATATAGAAAACACAGTTGTTAGATCACCCTTGTCCATAGTATCTTACAATTGTTTCCTTTACCAGATGTGCTGTGAAAGCAAACTGTTTCTCGCCTGTTTGGTTGGGTTACTGTTGTTCCAATTTTTACAGTTGGAGAACAGAGGTTTGGGGTAAGGAAAGGTGTGATTTGCCCAAGGCAATACAGTACAGTGGTACCTCGGGTTACATACACTTCAGGTTACAGACTCTGCTAACCCAGAAATAGTGCTTCAGGTTAAGAACTTTGCTTCAGGATGAGAACAGAAATCGTGCTCCGGCGGCAGCAGGAGGCCCCATTAGCTAAAGTGGTGCTTCAGGTTAAGAACAGTTTCAGGTTAAGAACGGACCTCCGAAACGAATCAAGTACTTAACCCGAAGTACCACTGTAGAAGTCCAAGATAGGAGGTGGAGCTCAGATATGGCTGCCTGAACCAAATATTGAATCAAATGTTGAAGTGTTTATTATGAATATTGTTTATGGAGATACAGCCAACATCCTGCCATTTTAATAGTAGCCATGGCATTATGAGCTGGAAAGAATGACATGTTGCCTTTTTAAAAAGGTTAAGTAGCCCATTCTGGGCTAAATCAAAAGCAGAAGATCACGCCTGTTTCTGGGGCCCGAGAGATCATAAGAGAATTTGGATGTGGTCAGAGACGTTTCATTACAGAAGTGTTTGGGTTTGCTTTTCATGCTCAGCCGCAAAAGGATTTCCCCCTCGGGCCAGGATTTGTGTGCATGCTCAGTTGTTTGCTCGCACTTGCTCATGTAAGTTGGCTCACTTGCTTGAGCCAGCTGCACAGTGCAGTTAAGCCTATGGACAGTAACTTGATTGCTGGGTGTCCTGTTTGTTCCTCTCTCGCCCATAGCTAGAGGGCTGCATGCGGCCGATGTGATTGTACGCACGGCTGTGATTGTACGCACACTTGCTTGGGGAGTGCGAGTTGGGTGGAATTCGATAAACACAGGGAGGTTGCAAAACCCCTTCTGTGGTTGTGACTATGTCAAGAAGTGGTGCTCGGGATTACAGTGGTACCTCGGGTTACATACGCTTCAGGTTACAGACTCCGCTAACCCAGAAATAGTACCTCGGGTTAAGAACTTTGCTGCAGGATAAGAACAGAAATCGTGCTCTGGCGGCGCAGCGGCAGCAGGAGGCCCCATTAGCTAAAGTGGTGCTTCAGGTTATGAACAGTTTCAGGTTAAGAACAGACCTCCGGAATGAATTAAGTACTTAACCCGAGGTACCACTGTATTTAGTTCTCCCATTTTATGCCAACACTGCTTTTCCAAAATGGGAATATTTTGTAGTAATTATTTCAATATAAAATGCATCTTGTTTTTGCAAGACTGTTCCGTTCTACTCCAATGCCAGTGGACTCCAGCTCCCATTTGCTTCATCCAGACAGCTTGGCAAATGGTTGAGGATGATGAGGATTTAACCATCAAAAACCGGGAGGGTTACAGGTTCTCCATCTACTTCGTTCTGGCCCTTGGCATGGCAGACATAAACCTGGCACGGACAAAGCCCTGTTGAGTTTCCAAACCACAGTTGGGCTGCTCTTCAGAATTGTGGCCCTTCCTTCCTGTATGCGAATTCTCGCTCCTCTTGATTCTGGAAAGATAACCATACTTCAGGATTGCATCTGCGCCTGTTTGTTGACTCCAGATATCTCAGTTTGCAAACCCATAAACACTGGGAAGGGCACTGGTGAGATCAGACTCGGGGCTTTTAGGAACCTGGGAAAGCCTGGGCAGTGTATATGGGAATCCTGGGCTGCCCAGATGACAAAACCCCCTTCTTGCCCTCGCTGATGGGGGTCCAAAGGAAAACAGAGCAATAGGTTTGGCACCAGCTTGGCTGCAGGAGATGCCGGAAGGAGACATACAAGACACCATCCAACTGCTTTAGGGACTCCACTCTAGATCTGTGTAGGGTTTGCTCCTGAGCCTTTTTGTTCTCCCAAGGATGTCCCTCAAGGCAGCTGTTTAGAATCAGTTCTCCTAGGTGGGCTACCTTCCTAGGGCGTCAAGCCCCATCTGCCCCTCATTGCCCTCTGTGGTGCATAAAGGTACCCCTGACCATTGGGTCCAGTTGCAGACGACTCTGGGGTTGCTTCGCTAATCTTGCTCCATATGCCGAGGGAGCCGGCATTTGTCCGCAGACAGCTTCCGGGTCATGTGGCCAGCATGACTAAGCCGCTTCTGGCGAACCAGAGCAGCGCACGGAAACGCTGTTTACCTTCCCACCAAAGCGGTACCTATTTATCTACTTGCACTTGACATGCTTTTGAACTGCTAGGTTGGCAGGAGCAGGGACTGAGCAACGGGAGCTCACCCCGTCACAAGGATTCGAACCGCCGACCTTCTGATCGGCAAGCCCTAGGCTCTGTGGTTTAGACCACAGCGCCACCCTTTTCTGTGGTGTGTAGCTATTGCCTAATTAAAGAGTTGAGCAGAAGACTTGAGAGGTTAACACTTTAGCCTCTTTTGACAAGGGGCTGGGTAGATCTAGGGCAGGAGTGAGAAGCAATTGGCCCTCTAGATAGAGTTCAACTCTGTTTCCATTGGCCCAAGCTAGCATGGTCAACGGACAAGGGAGGATCAAGTCCAACGTTGGAGTTGCCAAACTTTGGTCCACGGACCATCAGTGTTCTGCAAGTGTCTTTCAGGTGTTCTGTGGCAGGTCCACATGGAATATTCATATTGATTTTAAAAGTGCATTTTCAGCCTTTCTTTTATTTATTCCTTTGCACGCGATCACGAGTTCCGTAGAACTTAATTTTCAGTCCGAGAAAATGCAGTGTAAGAAATACAAGAAGCAATAAGAATGCGATTAAAATCATATGGAGCCTTGCACAGTTGCCACGACAGACAGAAAAATCATTTAAGTGGTCCAGCAAGACCTTCGGCAATTTTCAGGTAGTCAATAGTGGGGGATAGTTTGGGGTCATTGATAGAAAAGTACACACACACAAACACACACACATGCTAATATCCAAATGGCACTTTAAACCTGGGTTACAAATTACCACAACAGTATGTCTAGGTGACACCCCCCCCCCCCGGTGGAGTCTCATCTTCTTGTCAGTTTAATTAAATATATTTCTATGTTGCTTCATTTTAAAGGGGGGAAAAGCTCAAAGCAGTTTACAACATATTAAAAGAGCAGATAAAACAATCCAGACTAAAAAAAATTCAAGGAAAATATTTAAGATCTTTCTCTAAGTGAACTTTTGCCTTCCCCATATTTATTTACCAACTTAATTTATATAGCTGTCTCATAGCAGAAGGGCTCTAAGAAGGCAGTATGGTGTAGTGGTTAGAGCAGGGGTCAGCAACCTTTTTCAGCCATGGGCCGGACCACCATCCCTCAGACCATGTGGTGGGCAGGATTATATTTTGAAGGAAAAAAACAACGAATTCCTATGCCCCACAAATATCCCAGAGATGCATTTTAAATAAAAGCACACATTCTACTCATGTAAAAACACACTGATTCCTGGACTGTCCGTGGGCCAGATTGAGAAGGCGATTGGGCTGCATCCGGCCCACGGGCCTTAGTTTGCCTACTCCTGGGTTAGAGTGTCGGACCAGGACCTGGGAGACCAGGGTTCAAATTGCCACTCAGCCATGAAGCGGACTAGGGGACCTTGCAGTCAATCACAGCCTCTTCGCCTTCCTTGCAGGATCGTCGTAGAGAGGAACTAAGGAGGGGGGGGCTGAACCCAAACACTCCTTGGAGGAAAAGGTGGGGATATAAAGGCACCACTGTATAAATTGTTCAGGCAATGGAGCCCATTGCAACTGAATGCTTTCTGCATTCTCTTTTCCATCCTTTTCTTGAATTGTGATAGTTTAAAACCAATTTGCAGTGCCAGGGTGTACAGCTCGGACTGCCAAAGCACAACTGAGGCACCTTGTGGGAAGTGTGATCCTGTTGTTGACATGATTGGTGATGCGTACACCATTAAAAAAAAAAAATTACAGAAGGGAGAGGGAGCATAGCCCCAGAGACCCCTGGACCTGCATTTTGGAGGAACTGAAAGAAGGAGGGGAGGGAGGGAGGGAAACCCTGAAGAAGACTCAATTTGACCACCTACCATCAGAAGGAGAAACAAAACCAGTCTCTCCTCAGCTGCTACTAGCTGAGATTCTATTTTATATCTATATATCTATATAGATATATAGATATCTGTGTCTATATTGATATAGATATATATGGTTTTACATACAGTGGTACCTTGGGTTACAGATGCTTCAGGTTACATACGCTTCAGGTTACAGACTCCGCTAACCCAGAAATAGTACCTCAGGTTAAGAACTTTGCTTCAGGATAAGAACAGAAATCGGGCTCCGGCGGAGCGGCGGCAGCGGGAGGCCCCATTAGCTAAAGTGGTGCTTCAGGTTAAGAACAGTTTCAGTTTAAGAATGACCCTCCGGAACGAATTAAGTACTTAACCCGAGGTACCACTGTACTTCAGTGTGTATAGTAGCGGCTGCAGTAATTATTGTCATTATTATTAGGCCACCCATCTGACTGGGTTGCCCTAACAAGTTTTTAAAAAACCCCATCAGGCCCGTCCATCTTAATTTCTTGCTGGTTGAAGCAAATGGGAAACTGGCGCTCATCTCGCTTTATTGACCGAGGGAGCCGGCGTACAGCTTCCGGGTCATGTGGCCAGCATGACTAAGCCGCTTCTGGCAAAGCAGAGCAGCGCACAGGAAACGCCGTTTACCTTCCCGCCAGAATGGTACCTAGTTATCTACTTGCACTTTGACGTGCTTTCGAACTGCTAGGTTGGCAGGAGCAGGGACC